GCGTGTTCCCGCGGACTTCCTTCGACCGTCCCAGATGCACCCCGACACGAGTTGTCCCGCGCTGGATGATTGGGTTGCACACATGACGTCGATTATGAAGACCGCACATGAGCACATAGCCGCTTCCCAGACTCGCATGGCAGCACGTGCGAACCGATCGAGGATGGATCACCCATTCAAGGTCGGTGATGATGTGTTTATCGACGCCCGCCACTTAACGCTGGACCACCTCTACCACGTCTCGTTACTGCGAAACGCTAGACGACATCTCGTTAGACCGTCTGAGCGTTTCGTTGGACGACCATACGAGCGCCCTCCACCCATCATGGTGGACGGCCACGAGGAGTTCCTCGTTTCAGACATCATTGGTCGCCGAGTCACCGACGACAACCCTCCCCACGTCGAGTATCTCGTACGTTGGAAGGGTTACCCTGATGAGGASGCTACCTGGGAGCCCCTCGAGCACTTGCAGCACGCTCGCATGTTTGTGCGTGCCTATGACCGTGCTCGTCGTGCTGGGTTAACTGCTCCTCCTCAGCCCACTGACCCTCCTCCTTCTCCTCCGGCTGAGGAGACCGCTGAAGTTGAGCCTGCTCCATCTGAGGCAGACCTTCAGCAGCAACCGGATGCTTCTGAGCGTCCACAGCGCACTCGTCGTCGTCCTGCTCGATACGACGATTGACTCTAACTTACCTTCCCACGTCTTTGACTTCTCAATACTCAATCCACATCAGTTTTGCTACTTCAGCTCGTCGACGCTGCGGCTCTTCCTCGACGRCATTCCGGACTTCTCATCGTGGACGTCATCAGCGGCTTCATGGACTTCATCACGATCAGCTCTGCCTACTTCAGACGTCGTCACTCGCTTACCACTCTACCCTGTACAGTACCCTGCTTGTGTCGCATGATGGTCTCCCTTTAGCCAGGTTCCTCTGAGTTGGACTCTCCCTTGGTATACGCATAGGCATCGGGACCGTAGCGTTGCCCTGGCTTCCCATCTTACGGATCTAGCTCCGACTTTCCTCAYTTTAKGAGTCATTTGCATGATTCCCTTACCCATCATCTTTCTACCCTTCGCCGGCCCTCACGCCCTAGTTAGGCAGCCCCGCATGCTTCATCTAGGTGCGCCCAGTATACCAGGCTCCCTTGTTCCCTTGCATGGTCGACCCTCCATAGCGGTCACCCCTTAGTCGAGCATTACCCGCCCTGATGGTCTATCTGTTAGGGTCATTGGTTTTGTTCGCTCCCAGTTCCCTACCCTCATTGAGTCTGATGACATGTGTTTTCCCCTGTCACTATGTGTGGATGCCCTTAGGAGTTTTCGACCCCTAGGCTGCATTCGCCACCCTCAGAGACCATCCCACCCTTTGGTGTGCGACACACTTCTCATGTGACATATGGTTGTCTTGTTGATTGCTTTGTTRCYCWHAGACTGAGGCTACTGCCTCCGACATTTCTAGGATTTAGTTGTTCTGCGTTTGCTGTTCTTAGGACTTATACACTAGTCAGTTGTTACCAGACTGAGGCTAGTGCCTCCAACATTCTAGGATCTAGTTGTCACTACTGTTTGCTTTCCTAGGACATGTATGTTAGTTAGTTGCTCCTGCTTTCACTTAGGATGTTAGCTGTGACATTGCTGTTTTGTGACATTTTATATCCTAGGTTGCATCGCGTGAACTCAGCATGGAGCTTGCTCCGCATCCTAGACTACTCAGGTTTTCTTTTCTTTGGTAGAGTTCCGCTTCTTGGCGGAAGCATGTTTGTATCTAGGCAATCCATCACAGGCCGAGGATCGTGTAGCGGACCTCGGGTTGGCCTGTGAGACCAGCCCCTTGGCCTGTTCTCACAGGCCTGTGTTATATTCGGGGTAGGCCAGTCCAGGCCGGTACCTCTGTCGGTACCAGCCAGTCCAGTCCAGTCCCGTCAGTCCGCTGGGGTATACCCCAGCCATTGTCCGTTTTCAGTCTCATTCCTCACTTGCACATTTGGAGTACGTGCGTTGGAGTCTTGCGTGGGGAGCTGCGTTGTGCCATCTTGCTCCCCCTTCTTCCTCCATCTCCATCTCTGTCACTAGCGGAGCACCACACCTGGTGGGTCCGCTACACCAAGCGTAAGAGCACACTGGCGCTCCCTAGCCCACTCAAGAGCTAGGTTCCGCTTGGGCACTTTTCTCCATAGCTCCCACACAGCTATGGTGCCCGGCAGGGGAAGCGCCTCGTTGAGTGATGGGCGTCCATGGTTAGACGCTGCGCTCCACTCGACCGCGAAGCAACGACTGGGCGCCGCCACCGCCGCTATCGTCGTCTCACCGCTAACGCACTCTTTCGCGCGGTCCCCCCCGCTGTCCGTTTTTAGCAAGTGTCAACTGTCCGTTTTTTTTTTTGTCGTCTGCACATCTGTTCTCCGTGGAAAACGCCCTGCTTTTGGCACGAAATCAAGTGTCAGCTGCAAAAAAAAAAAAAAAAAAAACACAACAAGGAACGAACCGAGCTAATATTCTGGGCAGATACATTCGTGGAAGTAGCACTGTTAGTGATGTTTATGCCAAATAAGGTTTTTTTTGCCGATTTGAACTTGGACTACGAGGACATTGCCATAAGTGTTTTTTTTGCGGTTTTGAACTAAAAGGTGTGACCCAGGAGCAGTTTTCGCTTTTTTTTTTTTTTTTTTTTTTTGTTGAAGTCCAGGGTGTTGTAGAGGCCAGTTACTAGGCACACATTGAACACCGAAAGCGGTCAGCCATCGTCGCTCTGAGGAGGCGAGGCCACCACCCATCCCATCCTCGCGTCAATACTCCTAGCGCATCCCTTATTCCTACTATCCTACCTTAGTGTGACCAGCACTCAGGACCATCACCCTACGTGCCGAGGGGAACTTGGACCGAACAGTAGTGACAGGCACCAGGGCTAGCTACCCAGCCCTGGTTGAAGCATAGTCGAACGAGCCTCGTCGTACAGGTACTTCGGACACCAGGCTCAAGCAATCACCTATTGGCCCCTAAATTGACCAACTAGCAACTCAAGCCCTCTACTCTCCCACCACAGACCTAGCTGTATATTTAATGCGGGGTACTTATCATCGAGACGCCTATCATCATCACCAGTTAGAACCCACCAGACCAACCAATGACTCACTCCCTCTACTCTCCCACCACAGACCCTAGCTGTATTTTTAAGGTGGGGTACTTATCATCGAGAAAAAAAAAGAGACGCTTATCATAATTATCAGTTGATCGTAACCTCCTCCCAACCCTATGGTTGTGTATGTGTGTATGTACTCTGTATCATAGATGTGTGCCCGTGGGCTATATGTATGGTTGTATGCTGCTCCCCACCATGGAGCATCTGCGGAGTGAGTACTGAGTACTGTTGAGAGGTGCTCTTATCACCTCCACTAGTACATGTATGTGTGTGTGCACCTTGAGCTGTATATATGTATGTATCGTATATGTGTATAGATTGTGCTATCTGGGGTAGCATCTCATGTGTGTGTGTATGTGGTAGAGACAGGTCTATCTGGCCAGGACCCCCCCAAAGTCCGCAGCCAGACTCAAACCTGTGACCTACAGTATGAAACTGGAGGGTTCTACCACTTGTACTACCGTCGGAAGTGGATATAATGTGTGTAGTGTCTGGACTGGGGGAGAACATCAGAGAGACCAAAGCCAACAACAACCAGCAACCAACGTGAAGACTAGACAAGCATACAATACCCATGGACTGACCCCCTGGGTGGTGCGCAGGCAGTGTCATAGTGCCATGTGTCAGCCCAGGGGAGTGTGTGTCCAGCCCTGCGGCATTCTAACGCCCTACCGGTGTCCATGCACGAGGCTGCGGAGTTTTGAACCCACAGCCTCATACCACAATGAGCATTTCCAACCGGTGCTCTAACCACTGAGCTACATCATCACCACTAACACTGGCAAAAAAAAAAAAGAGAAAACCCACCGTGCTGGAAACCGGGTTTGACTGACTGAAACAAAAGACCGGGGATCTGCCTCTTCATCCATCTTGCCAGATGCACCATTAGGCAGCCTTGTGAAGAGGCCCTGCTAACCGGGGTTGAGGAGGCACACCCTACAGCTTGCTATTTTTCGGCCGTGGACCCCCTTCTCACGTCCTCTCCGCTTGCTACTTCGAGAGAGGCCTGGTGAATGATGCTGCAGCAAATCCAGGGAAATTGCCAGCCCCAGCCCCTCCCATATCTTCTGTCCATTCAGTCCTCGCTGTTGATTGCTCCTTCTTGGTGTGCCTTCCATCCCATAGTTCGCCCTGCAAATGGCAGCCCAGAAACCAGGGCCAATGGTCTATCATGACATCACAAGACATGAATCATTGCAAAACCCATCGTACTACACTCAGTCTGTCAGCTTCATTGCTTTGCTTTTTTTTTTGAAAACCCACACATACACGGGTGCCCCATCTATTCTAGGGGCCTGCATCTGGTTGCTCATCACCGGCAAGCTTTACAGAAATTTTGGGCAATTCCATTGTGACAAGAACCCAGCCTCGTTAAGTAGGTCACCCGTATACGAAGTTGAAAAAAAGAAAAGAAAAAAAAAAAAGAAAAGAACCCAGCCGTTTTTGCTCTCTTTTTTTTTTTTTTTTTTTTTTTTTTTTTTGCCAGCATTGATTACACTGGAATCCAGAGGATTAACTCAGATTCAACAGTGACTGCTTCTAGCGGTGAGACTCTTCCTTTTTTATTATTATTATTATTTTATTTTTTATTATTATTATTATTATTTTTTTTATACGGGCCCAGTGCCCAAGGCTGATATTACCAATGAAAACTGCTTGAGGCCGGGGTCCTCACAGTCTACCCGGAGTGGACGAAACAAATTTGCTGAGAACCAGGCCCAGCGGCCCTCCTATGTTGATGAAATGATCCGAATGGCAATGCTAATGATATGGATGCTAATGATGATGCTAATTCATGCTCATGTGCATTGTAACAGGCTACTTATAGAGCTATTCTGGCTTCCTAAACCTAAAGTAACACTTGCCTTCCTTATACCAGGGCATACTTACTCAGGGACAAAGCCAACCAAACCAGTCCCTACAAGCTTCTTCACTGCAATCTGCTTCCCACCTTTGTAAAACCCATCCCCTGAAAACATTGACCCCTTGCTCCTTCCCTTCCCGTCCCTTCCTTCTCCTCGTTTTCTGCTGCAGTTCCAGTATGTGGTCTTCCTCATCTTCCTTGCAAAGAAACCACATTTATCCATACAGACTATGATATCACACTAGCTCACATAACTACCAGCATATTCAACAACCAACAGTAGCCATATATGAACCGCGCCGTGCTGGGTTGGTACTCAGAGGTAGGGGGCTCATGGGTTAGACCTTGGTTAGCCGACCATTAGACACTCTCGATCAAATCGCACCAACGTGACCGGACAATTTCTCTCGTATAATGCAGAAGAGAGTTTCCTCGAGCACGAATTCTGCGATTTCAAAGAAGCCTTGGGCCTGCACAGTCCTCGGCACATCCCGCTGATGACTAGCCTTGATCCTATTAAAAGGTTCTGAGAGACCAAGGTTGCCTGAGCCTTTATTATGCCCTCCTGTTGTCCCTGCAATGCTGCGAGTCGTTTCGGGTATTTCTGCAGAAACTTCTGTATGGGTCGCTGTTTCTGACAGCACATTTTGTAGCTCAGAAGCAGCTGTCAAATCGTCAGCGATCTGTTCACGAAGTGCCTGGGGGGGGCTGAGGCCATCGGTAAGGGGGAGAAGTGCCGCTTGGTGAAGGTGTAGTACGTCCTGTGTTCTGGGCTCTGATAACCCCTTTGAGCCAGGCTCAGAGAGTGAGACAGTGGTGGCAACTATGGTATTACCGGAGCCATTAAGGTGTTCGGTCCCCTCTTTGTCTGCCAGGATGACGTTGTTGGTATGGGAAGACCCCAAAGAGTCTAGTGGCGACATTGTAGTAGATGTGGCAAAGTTATCATTATCATCATGCGTCCTTGCTGGTTGAGATGCAGACAAGCGCCCATGCTCACCTCTTTCTACTATTGCCAGATCGGAACCGACGCCATGATCCGTCAATGAATCGGAAGTTGTAAAGGACGTGTCGTCGGTAGTAGAGTCGCGGCTCAACGGAGGGCTCGTGTTCAGTTGCCATTGGGTAAAGAAGCTTGGTGCTTCCCTGTTCGGCACACAGAGTACTCCGGTAGAGACCACTCCGGCCAAGCTAAGCTGCAGCAGCAGGCGCAGTATGTCCTGAATAGTTTTTACTCGCTGACCAACCTGAGTGGAGGCGACGCTTACAACTTCTTCTTCATGCTTGCTTTCTTCCTCTCCGGGTCGACCTGCGATCTGGCCAGACGGAAGATTTCCCTTGCCCAAGGCCGCACGCCTGTCAGTGTCAGAGGAAGATCCATCAGGACGCTTCAATGGAGGAATGAAAAACATGTTAATGTCCGACGTTGGATATAGTTTGATTTCGTCGATGGCTTGCACGTATGCAGAAACTGTCAAGCAGAGTACGGTCTTGTTTTGTGGGCGGTCAAGGTTAGGATGCCCCCGTCGGTTTTCCACTTCCTCCAAAGTATTGGCGAAGACGAGATTCTCAGCCAGTCGGGGTAACCTGCGACATACGTTTTCAGTTGTGGCCCTCAAAGCAGATTGAAAAGTCTTGCTATTCTTTCTAGTGTGGAATGCGGCCACTTTGTCCAAGTCTTCCCTAATAATATCTTGACTACGCTGTGTCAACGTCACGTCCTTCGTTTCGTCAGCAATGACGTTCGTGCCGTTTTCGTTTTCCATCTGTTTCTCTACCATCATTTGGCTTGTGGCACTCCATTGCCGGCAATCCGAGGACCTCCTCCCCCTCCTCCCATTGGCAATCACAGATTCTGTCGCAGTCCTATGATCGGAGTCCAACAGTCCAGGATCAGTGATTGCAAGATGGTCGAGTTGGTACAAGGACGATCGGAGACCAATGTTCATCTGAGCATTATGAAATTGAGTTGCCGGTTGTCGACCATCCTTTGAGTTGCGTGTCATCTTTGAGCTCTCCTCAGAGAACTGAGGTATGGTGGATTTGGTGAAAGCGTCGTTGCCGATGTTTGGAAGAGGCTCCAGATCACAGCGCAAGACGGTCTCAAAGAATTGGGAATGGGAGCTTGCAGCGAAGACGATCTTACAGACACATTTCCGGGCGCGGTCCAAAACTCCTTCCGCTGGGATGACAGCCAAATGACCGAGAGCGGACTTCTGGCCCTCGTGTCCAAGCCTCCAAGCGAACTTGACCTTGGTGGTGAAGACTCTATTCTGGAGAATGACAATCTGTCGGTTTATTGAATGCTGGGGCACCTTCCCAAATAGGACAATTTCAGTCGAAAGCATTCCAAGTTGATATGGAAGAATCAGAATTTGACGATGACGAGTCCTTAGGGCTTGCCCTTTTGAGATCGAATAATGGTAATCACTAGGCCCATTTCTCGATTTAAGCCCATAGTACATTTTAGAAGGCCTTCCAACTGCCTCGCGGGGCCAAGAAATGTTCGAAAAACGGGGGTCTTGGGGCAATGGGTTCTTCTTCGAGGGGATTCCGCATAGTGAATTGGAAGGCCCACTGGCAGGTTCAACCATCGCGGCCAATGGCATTCCATCAACAATATCTTGGTGCTCTGTGGAGGACAGCGTAGCCCATCTTCTTCTGGCACACGGCTGGAATCCGTGCCCGACGACGCGTAGACATATCCGCTCTTCACTGCCGACCTGCAACGTTGTCTCAACGCTGTACTCTTTCTCCTCCAAGGGCATAAATGTCCACTTCAATTGGACCGAGTTGGCGACCGGAAGCAGGCCTTGAGCGTTCGTACAACTCACCACTTGAAAATCGAAGTTCTCTTGTCTCAGTCTTCTCAAGGGAGCCATGCTTACGGAATAAGGTAACGCAGAGGGACCACCGTTTCGTATCTCATATGTCTGAATGAGGGGTGATTTCTCCCCAATGGGAAATGGTCGAAACCGGAGCTCTTGCCCTGAGAAGGACACGAGTTCCGCTGATTCGTAGGTGGTCCCGATCAGATTGAGATGGATCCATTTCCCCTGTGCCACCTCCAGGACGGCCGGCAGTTCGTGCTTCCCAACAACGTCATGATAATAACAAAATACAATATGTACAGTCTCTCCAAGGCCCAACTCTCCTGCAGTCGGGTAGACGCTGAACAATTCGTTCTCAACAACAGCTGCTCTACTTCGCTCCTCCGCGCTCAGTGGTTCTCCTCCATCCACCCAACCCTCCATGTTGAGATCCCCTTGGCCCCATATTCTGAGCCTCCACGTGGCGCGCAAAGCCTCCACGTTCTTGAAGAGTACATGGATAGTAGTCGCCTCCGATCTCCATGATTTCGCACCGAAGTCGAACGGCATCGGCTGGAGCCGGTTCAAGGTGGCGGCAAAGGTCTCATACCTACCCGTGCTGTTAAGAAGGATCTCGCTCTTGCTAAGGGGAAGTGACAGCTCATGGTTAATCGCATCGACGTTCAGCTGATTCCAAGCTTGCGTCTTGCTCAGCCCAAAACACCTCGTCTCGATGATCGATAAGGCAGGGAAAGTGGCATGGGCTGACATGCGAACCTCGGCTGCGGTGCCTGATGATCTAGGATCACCCGTCTCAATCGCTAACTGACCTTCAAACTCAATACTCCGTCGTGCCCTGCGAGCTGCCTCTAGCATCTCCGGCGTTTCTACCCTGCACCCGGGAGCCATATTTGATCCCCTAATATCAAACTTGCTCTTCGATGCCGTCGTTTCCCCCTCGTCATGTCGCTTTTCCTTGTTACTTCCCAACGTGCTTGTGAGATCGGTGCTGTCAATTTGCAACTGACTAGCACGCTCCCGGCTCCTGCCTGCTGGGATGACTAAATGGTTAAATGCAACAACCCAGCAAACGATCTGATACGAGTACAGGGCACGACGCATCGGCTTAAAGGACACTTCGATCCTCTTGTGTGAGCGTGATGGTAGCACGCCCCTCGACTCGGATAGCTGCAGCCTGACATCGTTAACCAGCGTTACGCCGGGAAGTCCGTGATGTTCGTCCGGCACCTCAAGCGTTGTATCACGATTCCGCTTCTTACTTGTCACTCCTACTACATCGCGCAAGTGCTTGTCCTCCTCCCTATACGCCAGGTCATAAAAGAGATCGCAGTCGGAGTGATTATACATTATGAAGTCCATAGATGATCGCGAACCGGCAATTACCGCTCCAAAGTCTAGCAGGGTTGGCTCTATTGTCACGAGTCCACAAGTCCCATCAGCTTCAAGAGCAAGGATAGCTTTGTAGTCAGGAGGATGAGCGACATCCCAAGCTGGCAGCACCTGCCCTGGTGGTAGTTGTTGAGATTCTTGAGAATCGTCTCGGTGTCCATTACTCTCTCTCCTGCTACGGGCCATGGTGTATACCGCCCGAAAGTCGAGAGGAGCCGTTACAGCCGTATGCATCGGCAACGGTTCGGTGATGGGATCATCGACTCCCCTAGCTCTAGTGGGAATGGCTGGGACTGACCGAGGAGGAGGCCCAGTCGCGTAAGCTTCACAAATCACTTTTAAATTGTACTTAGCTCGTGTCAAAGGTGCAAACAACCATGTAGCGAAGATCACCTCGTTGCCACGGAGAAACCCTGTGTCCGGACTCACGTGGAAGATGTGGCAGCTCTTGCTCGGTATGATCCATCGAAACCACACGGGGATGGGCGATGTGTTATGCAACCTCAGGTACCTCCTGGACATGGTGCCAACACAGGTGGATTTGAATACGAGCTTGGCACCCGTTCCCAACTGCAGCTTTGCAGCACAGGAGTACCCATGGAGATTGAGAGTCAAAGCATGTCTTATCGAGTGGTTCAGAACGCAAAGAACCTGGCATTTTTGGGACTTCGGGCTCCATGACTTGTATCTAAATGCGACGATTTGGAAATCGTTCCCTGCAACCACACCCTCCATCGGTCTTAATTGGAATGCTGGATGTAGATTGTCTTCCACAAACATGAACCTCAGTGGAGTGTGACCATTGTTGCGCAGTATAGCCGTCTGATAAGATGGGTAACCGCTGTGAACAGGTGGGAAGCGAATGGTTGAAGGTGCGAAAGAACCTCTTGGGATGAACTCTTGAGTGTCTTTTTGAAATGTATGCCCGGTAACGTTAATGCAAATGGAGTAGGGGTGAACGAGCTCGTCTGAATGAGCCTTACGAAAAATGGGTGTATGGTTACGATATGCGATACACTCCAGCATCTTTGAGTAGTAGCAGTTGCTCTTTCTTGGTTGGAATATGAGCCTGAACGTGAAAGTCCCACCAGGCCTTATCTCTGCCTGTTTCGGGAAGGCCTGAAATATGGGTCCCAAAACAATGGGTGTCAAACCTGCTCGTGCACCAGACATCTCTTGCTCATGTCCAAGGTTGTGGTCTCTTTTCCCTCCACCAGGTGAGTGGACACTATCCTCACAATTGGGAATGATCCATACACATATGATTGGCTGAGTGTCGTTGTTCGTCACATTGACTCTCTGATACTTCGATGCATGCAAAGGAGAACACGAACCAAAGTCTATCTTGCTCGGTTGAAGTGAAATGAGCTCGGATTGTTGGATGCCAGTCGCCCAGCAGCAAGGCCACGCACAACCATTCCGGAAAAGCACCTCCCAAGCGGACGAGAAGGACATCTCTTCCGGAACGTGCGTCTGCTTTGCTTGATCTTCATGTGCAAGGTCCATGGCGAAATCTGTTGCGTCGAGCACATCCATGGGGGCTTGAGATACACGTTCCTTACCCGCAGACATTTGCAACAGTTGTTTCACTTTCGATGCTGTGGTCCACGCAGCATCATGATCTGATAATAATTGGTTCTGCTGCTCAACAACTGGCATAATAATATCACTATGATCCAGTTTATAATCGTTGTTCACTTGTCTGGATTGCAGACTGTGTGGGAATCCTGCTTTTTTGGGAAGGCTCGTGACAGTCTTCACATATGGATTGTCTACGAGTTGTGTTTCAAAGGATCCCAAGCCAGGACCGTCTCTGTACTTGTCACTATGTTGCCCGAATAACTGTCCTGGATGCAACAACCGCTTCAGAAATCCCATCCCAATGAGCTCACACACGAGTGGGGTTTGAGCATGCTTGGCAACACATATGGCATGCTTGTAGTAATGCATAGGGCCCATTGGCCTGAAATGAACTGTCACTGCGACACATGAGCACGGCTGAATGACACCATTCATCTGATCAAATTGGAAGACTCCTGCGTCCTCGACCATAACTTGATAGTGCACTAGAACTTCTGAGTGGTTCTCAAGGAGCATGGATCGAGCTTTCGAGGACCCAATAGTGACGGTGCCAAAGTGAAGCGATGGTGGTGAAAGAGAGATGGATGGTCCTACGGCCATACCGCAGACAGTGAGAGGTGGCCCAGTCAATAGATTCGATAGTATGTTGAAGTACTCGACAGAGTGTGTCCCAGTTGCCACTGGTGCAAAGGAGATCTTAAGCAAAATATGTGAACCGGGCTGAACCAACCCTTGCAAAGGGGACACAGATACCGTATGGTCTTGATCTGTTGCGAGGTCCGACACTCTCTTTATAAGGAACGTCGCACTAACCGCCGATGAATTCCTCAAAATGATCTCCCTCTCCAAACTGCAGCCGCTGATTACCTTTCCAAAGTCGAGAGATGTTTGAGAGAGAACCAACGCTGGGTACTTCCCCACACCTGTTAATTTCAGCTTGTTGCCGAGACCTCCCTGTGTGAAGCAAAATGCCATGCCAGTTTGAAAGGATGCCGCTTCAGGCCGGTACCGAAGTGTGACGATGGTGCCCTCCCCAGCGTTGATGGCCCCTTCGTCTGGATCAATATCGAACGGGTTGTCCACCTTCCACTCGTAGCGCACCCCAAATTCTCCCACATTTTGTATCTGCACCTTTCTTTCCGTCCACTCGCCCACGCAAGCGTAGCCGAAATCCACTCGTGTAGGCATAATCAGACGCACGCTGGCCATCACAGCTCTCAAGTTGACGCTGAATGACTCATCCTGCCCTGCACCCCGAGAGCCCCCCTTCTTGCCCATTGCTGAGAAATGCACAACGTCGGCGTAGTGTAATACCCCTTTGTCATAGTGCTCTCGCGATGGCGCACAGAAAGTGACAGCACCCGCAACTGCCATCCCCGGACTGAGCTTCAGCGGGTTCGGGCAGTCCATCACGAAATGGGGTGTCGCAAGTTGTCGGTACCGCAGAAGAACCGTGCGATTCGATATGTTCCTCAGTACCAAAGCTTTCGTAGAGGTCCTTCCAGCTCGCCATGCCCGCCACTCTATGCACGTGGGATAGTCGATTCCGAGCGCTCTTTGCCGTTCGGGCTGTGACTGGAACGAGATCCCAGCTAGCCACCTGTCAGTTTGTGGTAGGACGACCTTTGAGAGGCCAACCATTTCAGGTCGCTGAAGCGGCATCTTCCTCTTCGGGACCACGGGACCAGGTGACAACACCTCAGCAAGTGCCACGGGCTTCGATGACGTCCAAGCGAGGAGCAAAGGGGTGGGAATCAGGGGAGGACCAAATCAAGAAGGTCATGGCTGGAACGAGATCCCAGCTAGCCACCTGTCAGTTTGTGGTAGGACGACCTTTGAGAGGCCAACCATTTCAGATCGCTGGAGCGGCGTATTCCTCTTCGGGACCACGGGACCAGGTGACACGTCAGCAAGTGCCACGGACTTCGATGACGCCCAACCGAGGAGCACAGGGGTGAGAATCAGGGGAAGATCAAATCAAGAAGGTCGTAATCCGTTGATCAACTCCCCAGTGCTCTTACAGCTGTTCCGAGCCATTCCTCCGCCTTCATAAAATCAAGAAGCCTGCTCTCTCAATGCTTTCACACCGGTCCTGAGGAGGCAATGCCATTTACTTACTCTCTCGCCATGGCATAAACCGCGTTAACTTTTTGAAGTTACTGTAGTAACTGTAGTGCACAGAGTGAGCTTTGTACAGTCTACCGCTGCCGTCTTCCACCTCAGAGTCTGCCGATGACAGACAAGTGAATGCTGGTAGTCTTCGCCGTCGATCATCGCCCTCGACACGCTCCATCTTAATCTTATCGTGCTTGATCGCTTTTAGCAACTTGAAGTCACAAAGGGGGGAGGGGGGGGTTCACGCATGCACATGGGCACAGTGGCTGCACTGGGTTATAGCTCCTTCCGGAGGCCTCAGGAGAATTTGGCTTCATGCGAGGCTGCTGCTTTATTTGAAATCCCCTACAAACGGCATACCCTTGCCCTCACGGTAAGTGAACAGCTTTGCGCTTGATTGAGCGGAGTTTGTGGCCGAGGCGCGAGCGACGCTGGACCCTTCTTCAGCCACGCTTGTGCCTCCTGTACCGCAGAAGAAACCAAGCGGCGCACTTTTCCACTTCTTTTTCTCCCAGAAGGGTTAGGTAGCCGGGTATTTTTGTTGTATCCGTATGATGAGGTGCAGATTTAACACCTGACATGTTAACAAGCGGGGTTTAATGTGCCTACGGCTCAGCCTCACTGTCTGGGTCAGCGGCGGCCTACCAAAGGGTACGGTCATGCGAAAGTCCAGCTCCCTTTCAGCAACAGCCTGGCGTGTCGAACACATCTTTCAGCCTTCGCCCGCCGCGTGCATGCCCCGCTGCCCTTCTGTAATCACGATGTGATGGTGGCACTTCCTCACCTGTGCACGCGCTACAGAACGAACAGCAGGAAAACGAAAAACAAGGAACAAAGAACGGAGAACAGACAAAGCGACCAGATATGCATGCACACAGGCCACACGCCATTAATCAACGTTGGCGGAAACACACACTCACGGCATTAATCAACCTTCATGAAGTTTTGGTTGGGAATTCCACGACCTTGAGCTATGAATCCCCTTGCCCGGTGACCAGGGTCGACGGTCATGACCTGGAGGTCCCAGTCATGACCGGGCCGGTCGAGGCCTTTGCAGCCACGAGGCGGCCGTCCCTACCCTTTCGGTATAACAAAATTTTTAAAAAAAGTTTTTTGGGGGGGGTGATTTGGAGGGAGAGAGGGGAAAAAAAAAAACCAATTGTAATAGTATTAAAAAAAGAAAACTGCTTGATTGATTGATTGATTGGTTAAAAAAAAAAAAAAAAACTGATTGACTGATTGATTGATTAATTGATTGGCTGATTGGCTGATTGGTTGATTGAAAAAGAAATGAAAAAAAGAAGTGCACGTTGGTGTGTGTGTGTGTGTGTTGTCATATTCGCTATACACTCAAAAAAAGCATGACTGTGCCAGACTGTTTCGTTGGACTTTCACCGACTCATCAGGAGGTGGTGTGTGTGTGTGTGTGTGTGTGTGTGTGTGTGTGTGTGTGCGTGCGGGCACGTGGGGGTTGGGCGAACCCCGGCAATCAATCAATCAATCAATCTGTATGTGTCAATAACCCCCCCCAAAAAAACACAAAAGATTTTTTTTTTTTTTTTAGGGTTTAAACTTTAAACTGCAGATTCAGGGCCTGAGCGGGCCACAGTTGACCAAAGTCAGCTGCCTGGCTGCAGGTACCAAGACAGCATCAAGACCAAGTGGAAGTCTGCAACTGTACACAATCCAGGCCCTCGGCTGTGAGTCAATCTGTACGACTGTGGGCAGGAGACCTGAGCCCAGATTGCCTCGTCAAACACTACTTAAGGCTTGGTCTCCAGGAGGTCAACATTCAGTCTTGCTATGCTGACTTGACGCTGGCAGGACGCTGGCTAGACGCTGGCTGTGCGCAAGTACTGTGGACGACGCGTCGGCGACAGCATGCTGGCGCATGCTCTGCTGAGCGCCAGCCTATGCTGATGTGGCGCATGCCACTTGTCTTCATTGCTCACGTGGCGCGTGCTACTGCTCTTCACCTTGATGTGGTGCGTGCCACCTGTATTCAGGCTGACGTGGCGCGCTACTGGTTTTCATGCTCATGTGGCGCATGCCACCTGTCTGCAATTCTGATGTGGCGCAGGCCACCTGCAATGAATTGCAGTGCTACAAGTGGGCTGTACTTTTAATTTTGTCCCTGTCATCGTTGTCAGGACTGGATCCCGCAACCATTGCTTGCTGTATTGCCTGTTTATTTGCTGTTTGTGTGTTTTGAACCTTGCGGGACTTGATCCCGTGACCTGTAACCTGTGAGTTTTGGTTGTGAGTGTTGTGCCCTATGGGGCTTGATCCCTTCGTCTGTCACTGGTAGTCTCTGTTTGGTAGCCCTAGGCCACTCGGCCTTTTCCTTTTGCTTTGTCATAGGTCTAGGTCCCCTTTTCCCCTGTTTCCATCTAGATACAGGTGAGTCTTGGGTTGTTGTTTTGGGAGTCCGTCCTAGGTCTAGGCAGCCGGTAGAAGTAGCCGGCAGGAAAATTAGTTCGGGTCTTTTTCTCGTTTTTCTGCTGGGGAAACTCTGCCCGTTCGTTGCCGTAGAGTTGCTGCGTTATTTTGGGCGAGGGCATCTTCTTCCTCGAAGCCCAGCCATAGCTGGGGCTGGGACACAAAGTTGGAGGTCGCACTGCTGCTATTCAGCAGTTGTGTTGTTGGGTTTGGGCGCTGCCTTTCTTCACTTGGCAGCCATATCTGCTGTTCCTCCTCATGAGGAACTTCGTTTTTCTCTTCTTCGAAGTGCTGGATCGATTGTCGCCTTCTTCATCAGGACTTCCAGAGCTGCACTTCAGTGCAGGCGCTGAGCTGGCGCTGCTATCATTGGCGCTGCTGGTTCAGATTGGCACGTTGTGACAGCTGTGGGTTACTGCTGCTACGGCAGCCATAGCCAGGGGTACGAGGCGGCGAGGAGGAAGAAGAAGACACCTGTAAACTTCGTTGAACACTTGTTTTTGGTTGTTCGGGGTTGTTGTAAATGCGGTTGTGATTCTTGGAACAAGTACTTTGGATTGATTGGAGGAGGACGGGGGATTACAGACTTGAAATTCGTTTTCCAAGTCTCTGTGTATTTCGAGCTTCCGCTGTGCATATCCTCTCTCCGGTTTTGTTTGGATTTGCCTCCTCCGGGTCTACTCTGCAATTGCATGCGTGTATGGGAACGTGTGAATTCGTTGTGGATGGAAGTTCAATCGGGTACATAACCAGATCGGGATCTGTGGATGATTGACGAGGATCGGGATACTTACCTGAGCTGGCGTCGACATTGCGCGCTGCTAACTGTCTTCAATGCTCCATGGGAGAATAGTGCCACGTGGCACTTCTATCTGATCAGGACTTGCCAGACTCGTCACTGGGTATTGTGTGATGACGTGGAGGCGAGGGGAAGCCCGGAGGAGGAGTGGGTAATGTTGAGCTACTCTCCTGGTGGTCATTGGGCTACTGTCTGTTCCCCCTCCACTCTATTCGTCTAATGGTAATGAGACATTGTATCTGAGATCACTTTCATGATTACTGGAGACATCGTGCAGATCTGAGTCTACTTGTACTTCGACGTCTGATGAGTATCTTCCAGTTTGGGTTCATTACAAAGCTTTAAATGTGTACTTTTTCTGTTTTTCATTTTTTTGAAATCGAAACTGAAGTCCAATTCCCCAAAAAGGGAATGGGGTTGTAGGGTTTAAGAAGCCCTACAGTGGCCCTCTTTTTTTGGGGGGAAAACTAAGGTGCAGTCAAGGTTTTCAGTACTAAATGCGTTTCAGTCACGGTGTCGCGAATTTTACTCCAAAGAGAGGAAAATCGTGAATGTATACAACCCAGCTTTAGGGCTGGGTGGGGATGTATTGTATTTGAGGGCTGACTGAAGTGGATTTAGAACTGAAAACGTGACTGCACCATAGCTAACCCCCCCCTTCTTTTTTTTTTTGCCTATTTTTTTGCGGCCGGGAGAAATTCCCAAAACTTCGGTCGGAAATTTCTTTGGCCGGGAGACATTCCCGAAACTTTGCGCCGGACCTCGACAGGCCGCCGCCGGCCCAAAAGGACCTCCTCCAGTCATGACCGGGGGTGATTCATAGATGCATGATGCAGTCATTTTTGCACTTCTTTACCCCTCTTTCTTCTTACACCATTATGTTCCCCGATAACGTACTTCCCCGGAGCCTACGAGAAGTGGGGTGGAGAATCCTCCCTTTTTCCTTTTCTGCACAAAAGTGGAAGCTTCCATTTGCAGCAAACTCCAAACAGTTGCCATCACTCTCACTTTCGAGTCCTTACATTCCATTGAAGGATATCCCACCCTTGTATAGTTATTTTCCAGTACATGAATTGAGACAACGAGGACAGTATGAGAAACTGACTATCATACGCGGCCCTCACAAGTAGATTACCAATCATTCATTCTCGAGAAAGGATATTCCACCCTTGTATAGTTTGTCATCAAGAGGTGATCTCCACCCTTCCCTCCCAAAACAAAAGTGAAAAGAACCACCTATCACCTGCTGCAAGCCGGTAATCAGAACGCCGGTTTAACCAATCGACTGGTTTAACCACAGAATGCCTCCTTCTGATTGGTCAGGACTCAGGGCTTACCCTTACGGTTTAAGCTTTACTCCCTTAACGCAGGAAGTGCGGGCAGAATGGGCGGTGCGTGCAATGCCCGCACAGAAAAAAAGAAAGAGAATGGAAAACATCACAGAAACTGCTCACACAGACTCAAACAGACCAACAGACTCATAATGGACTCACACCGACACACACACACACACACACACACACACACACACACACACACAGAGAGAGAGAGAGAAGAGAGAGAGACAGAGAGAGAGACAGAGAGAGAGACACAGAGAGAGACAGAGAGAGAGACAGAGAGAGAGAGACATACAGACAGTTCACACTTCACACAGACTCAAACGGAACAGGAGAGAGAGAGAGAGAGAGAGAGAGAGAGAGAGAGAGAGAGAGAGAGAGAGAGAGAGAGACATACAAAGAGAGAGAGAGACATACAAACAGTTCACAACTTCACACAGACTCAAACGGAACAGTAGACAAAAGGTACTAACAATGGGCCCAAACGCACTGAAAACAAGATTGCACAAACTCAAGCACACCGACAGACTCAAAATTGATGGTACTTTAGCTGCAGTTGCAACAGAGACTGCAG